AAAGAGAGCTTACGCATTCATAAACCGAGGATACAACTTGATTTAGTATATAAGTTGCTCTTTATATTATAAAAACATCACATGTATATATATATATATATATATAAACAATGTTCACATACAATAATTAATTACTTGCCTGTTCCATATCAACTCGCTTCCCATGATAGTCGAGCCTAATGGGAACATCAGGGGTAAAAATGAAAGATCTGAAAAAACAACAACAACAATGTGCTTCAGACTTTAAGCTTTCCAGTCTGGTGGCATAAACATTTTGTTTGTTTGTAAACCTGCATTCATAGATATTAATAATACACAGTTGAAGTCATATCTGTAACATAGGTACTTTCAAATGTAATGCTCGATAAATTCAATTATATTTGTTTGGTAAATTTACAATTTATCCTTATGAAAAATGTCTATGTGACATAATTTTCCACTATATCATTAGGCAATATGCCAGTTGCACTGACCTGAAGCCAGAATTCATAAAACTTGTAAGCAAAACACAATCTGAGGCCTAATGACGTCATGTGCTAGTCTACTTTGATGAAGAAATTCTGCAATTCAATGTCTCGTATATTGTTAAAACTAATATTTTATTTAGTTTTATTTGTAACGATTACCCCAGTAATCTTTTTAGAATTATGTACAACTGTTTCAAAAAGCTCCCCCTTTCATTTAAACTAATTGAGGGTGAAGTCAACTATTAGTTTCAAATTACATGCATGAGTTCTTGCAAAACAAAAAAGAATTACCAAAGTAACTACTTCAACAAAATTATTTTACTTTTTTACTGCCTTTGTATAACATAAAAAAATACAAAATTATGATATAGTTAAATAACTCTAGAGGTGCACGGCCATATAATATTTCTGACATAGTAACTAAAGATTAGATATTTAGAATCTACATCACGAAGAAAGAAAGAATGATCGCACCGGTTATCGAAATGTTGTACCATTCTAAAAACAAATCTTCCTTATTGCAAAAGCTGTATCTTGTAATAAAATAATACTTAATCTGTAAGTAAACTCCAAATGAAACTATTAACTCAAACTATAGCAGTAACTGAGTTTTGTTTGGATAATCTTGTTTTTTTTGTGTCTAATGTGCAACCTTTCTAAAAACTTGTGTACTGGAGATTGATTGCATCAGTGATTGAAATTTCGTACCATTCTTAAAACTCAAAATACAACTATTAATTCAGATACTTTGTTTATAAATAAAATCATGTTGTTGTTGAATAATTTCATAGGAATAATTCTGCCTTCCATCTAGTTTTGAAGATGACATTTCAGTTCTTCATCAGGTTTGAGGAGTTAAAGAAGATTTCTATATATATTTCTATATATGAAAGCAGCATGGTCCTCAGAGAAAGATGGTAAAGAATGGTTACATGTGACTGGCTGTAAGAATGTAGGCTCAATTTGTTTTCCTAACTAGTAATTGAGTCAGAAAACTTTGGTAGTGAGGCCCTGAGAGGGCACTCTATTATAATTGTTGAGTTCTGATTAAGCCTAAGATTGATTTCTTAATCCAGTTTTCCTCTTTCTTATAAAATAGGGTTTGATATGCTGATGATTTCCAGTCCTTTCTCTGTTTAAAGTTTTTTTTTTTTTTTTTAGTATCATTCTGAGAGCTTCTTTAATGTTTTGGAGTTTCCTATTTTTCAAAGTCTAGGGTGCTCTTCTCATTGCATTTGATGTCCTACATTGTACACCTGGTCAGCTATGGCACTGATTTCTCTGGGTGTAAAAGTCTTGTTGCATCTTCATGTTATTTCAGTCTTTTTTAATAGTTTTCCCAGTTTATATATATATATATTACAGCAGCTGCATGCTACATTTTTAGTAGTGTTCTACTGTTCCATCTAACTTCCACTTATCAAAAAGTATAATGTAGGATAAAAAAATTTCCTCTAAGATCAAACATTTTCATAGTTTGTTTTTCAGCCACACTATCTGTTTATACTTAATAAAACCAGAAAACTTTTTAAAGAGACTATTTCCACTGTTGTGAGATGTTCGGATAATCACATATAATTTCAATAACTAAAACTTTAGTATACTGCAAGTTCTTGTTGAAGAAATGAAATGATTCTGGATTTAGTGTGCTCAATAATCCATCAGTTAAAAGTTTACTTGAATAGCTTTAAGGTAGAAAGTCAAAAGCTGAAATGATTAACAACTCAAATCAATAATAAATGTAATACCCGTGTTCTGAAAACAAATTTCTCAGCGATAGTTTGTCAGAGAGAGACATTTTATTTCTTTTTCATTTTGACAAAACCTACACAAGGGCTATCTGCACTAGCCATCCATAATTTAGCAGTGAAAGACTAAAGGGGAGACAGCTAGCTAACACCACCCACTGCCAACTCTTGGGCTACTGTTTTACCAATGAATAATGGGATTGACCATCACATTATAATACCTCACAGCTGAAAGAGCAAGCATCTTTTGTGTTGGGGATTTGAACCAATGACCCTCAATTTATGAGAGAGAGAGAGAGAAATAAAGAAATGTTTACAGATTGACATGTACACAGCATAAGACTTGACTGAAAAAATAATAACAACAATGCTTTGTCACAAGCTGCTGTTTTTGTAAATGATGTAATAGTTAAAAATGATACCACATAAATGTGCAATATTTGAATAATGTACAACAACTAAACACCGACTTTCCACTAATATTTGAAAATATACACTTTACTTGTACATTAATTGACCATGCACAACCTCTCAAGATAGAAACAAGGTAAACAAATACAGGTACCAGTTGCTAAATCACTGTGTGGTAGCAAACTAGAATATATCTATATACATTAAAAAAGGGGTGAGGGGGTATTATCGACACAACTTATCTTTTCATATTTTCAATCAAAGTTTGCCTGTCAGAACTCTTTTATGGTACCAAATGTTTTAGAAATATCTTATGTATCAACTATTCACAGATTATGGGCAGCAAACAACAGGACACTGTTTCAGATTCTCAAAAAACTAACAAGTAATAAAGTTTTATTGTTCTTTATAGTTGCAAAACTGAAGATCAACGAGGAAAGAAGTAAAAGTCAAATTTGCTTATCTCTGAGTACCATGTTTTCTAAATGTATGCATTTGCTGCATTTCATACAGTTTCAGTTTTCTTATTGCTTCCAGTGCTTTTACTAGATTGTATTGTGCAGACTTTCTGAAAAAGAAATAATATGTTTACCTTCCCTTGTTCTTTAATATTTTTGGACTGAAGGGGTGTCATTTTTTGCCTTTCACTGTGTAAGTACTTAATGAAGTTGTAAGAAACTTAGTACGAACTTACTTAAAAGTATCAAGTTTCAGCTTAAAATGTTTTTGTATGTAAAATTAACAAAATATTGTTGATCCGAAAGTTCCGTTTAAAATATACGTTTCATTTTGATTGATATTCATTAACATATTTCTGATGATACTTTATTTTGCCAATTTCTGTAGTCAACACTTCCATCTATAAATTGTAAAAAAACAGCAAAAAATGACAGAGATTTATCAGTGACATAACCCCTGACCTTTCAAAATACCACCACCATTAATCAGGCTAGGTAATAATTTTGTTTAAAATATTTCTGCTTGAGATCATTTATACCTAATAAATATAACTTACTTTCAAAAAATAAGTTATTTTATTTAAGTATATTACTTGATGACAATAAACCTAATAATATAACATTCTTAAGGATTTGAGACACCAAAAAATTTTGCCATTGCCTACTGTACTCGTTCAAACTTACTAAGCTTACCTGATATCATGTCATAGAAGAACATTTCTGTACATTTCAAACAAATATAACTTAACACAAAAGCATTTACAGGAACAGAATGAATGTCTACAGAAATTCTAAAAAAATTGCCCAGATATGTGGCTTGTTTCTAAGCCTTCTAAACTTCCCATAAGATATCTCTTGTTCACCCTGTCAGGAGCTCCAGCTAGACACTATCTTGAGGAACCATAAATTACTGCTCAAATCACTTAATATACTTCAAATTCACATAGACAGGTTATAATCAGCTCTACCTAATCATATATACAATAACTATTGTCAAAGCTAAACTTCATTTGTAACTGTTCAGACCACATGCTGTGACATCATATATGCATTCTTCTTACAACACAAATTTTTAGAACTAACAAGGAATTGAAAATATTCAATCTTAAATCACTTATTTTATAATTTTCAATTGCTTTTGTGAAAATGAATGAATTTAGCAACTATTATTATTAGTGCAAGTAAATCTTTTAAAAAGTGTAATTAACATATATTGGCTAAGTAGATGGAACAAGAATTTTTCCAATCAGGTCTTTTAACTAAATGTAGATTTAAGTAAAAACAGTGCCTTATGAAGCACAAAGTATGTGTTGTTTTCATTCAATGATAAAACTTATCTATTTAATTATTAATTACAATAACAGGGGGCCCCACTATATAACATAATTGGAGAAAATGGCACCAACAGATGATTAATGATTTCTGTATTTATATTAAATATTTCACACTTTGTAACTTTGAATTATTTTGAGCCTATGTACCACATACACATAAGCTATAGAAATCTGTAATTACAGAAAGAACAAGCTCATACATCTTGATGGAATACTTTGGTACAGTAGCAGAGACATCGTAAAATTAATCTTATTTGGTTTAAAAATAAAGAGTAAGTTAGCTGACCTGAAAAATGTAGGACGTGAAGGTACAGAGGCTGGAGTTGAAGCAGAAATTAAATTGTTTTCATGGACATAAACATCTTGAATCAAGTCCTGGGCTTCTTCAGCTGTCTCTTGAAGGAGAATTAAAAGATGGTCTGGTTCTGTTGGAGTAAGACCAGAAGAAGCAGGTGGAGTCATTCCCATTACTGGACTCTGATGATCACTGGTTGATAGAGGATACCTGGACAAGGTACTATCTAAATGGTGAGAAAATGTATTTATTAATTAGAATATAACATACCATATTTTTCGGAATATAAGATGCACCAGTGTATAAGACGTACTCTTATTTTGAAGACAAAGTTTTGGGGGAAAAAAAGCTACAGTCGCATTTGAAATATTTTTATTGAACAAAAATTCAATTTGATGCTTTAAAAATTAGTATATATATTGTTCTAAAACAAAAAAAAAAAAAAAGAAGCTCAAAACATCAAAATAAGAAAATACTGTAAATCAAAAAAAGGTTTACTGTTATCTAGTTTGGTTCAAAACCTACAAAATCTTC